GTGCAATAATGTTTGAAGACTAAAAGTGATGGAGTATCTCGTTTGTCATAAGATAAACACTTTTGTCTTTGCTTTATCTTATTAGAGGGTTTGGTGGAGTCTTTAGTATTTAAAATGCTGTTTGGTATAATAGGCATAAAGTAAATTCTTTGAAAGAGGAGTGCAGAACTAGCCGTGTAGATTTGTTGGTACATGTGATAGAACCTACAGCTTTATTGGGATAATGCAATGTTCTGCTGGTTCACTCTCGAGAGGCTGTTTTTTGGAGTTTGGCAAGGACAAACATTTTTTAATTGAAATTTGCTTAGAAATGTGAAAGATATCCTAATCTCATGGCCCTATGCAGAAAAATGAAAGTTAACTTGGGGGTTCACATTTTTAGATGAACCCAATATAACTGTTGCTTCTGAAAAGAGAAAAGTGTAGAAGAATGCCACCATTTTTTAGAATTGAACAATCCTGTTGCAAGACGGTTCTCTTAAAATTAAACAGGCTGGTTTACCTAAACAAAATTGACTTGGTCTCCACCATACCATTGACCTTCACATAAAAGGTAGAAGCTCCTGGTTCAATCACATGACTTGCAGGATCTGTGGAATACTGAATTTCATCCAAAGAAGCGGTGATAATTATACTGCTATATATTTAAACTGATGAAAATTCGACATAGGGTAAATGAGAAGGGAATTACCTTTAGGTGTGTTGTGATAATTAGTAACCATTATGAACTCTCTAGCCACCTTAGAGGGGGGAATATGATTGGCTTTATTTAAAAGTATTTCATTGCTTAGTCCAATCAGTCATCCATTATTCTCATAAAGCTACTGAGGAAAGTCATGTAGCTGGTATAAACACAAGTTCATAGTTTCCAGTCTAACCTTATGCATTGTCTAGTTATTTTTCTCATCCCCGCTCAAAGTAGTCTCAAAATCCGTATCATTCCACAAACTTCCCATGTTTTAACTTGTGCTCACCTTAATGTTAAAGCATACCACCACATTCTTTTTGCCTCTTGTCTTCCAATAGACTAGACTTCTGTTTCCCAGGGTAAATTTTAGCATGTAGGAAATATAGAAGGGGAAATGGCCCCAATTTCCAATTCTGGGTTTGCTGACTTATAAGTAGTTTGGTTTCCAAAAATGAATTGCTGTTTTCCTTTTAAACCAATTTTTCTTATTTTCCTCTGGGTTCTTAAAAGGCTCAATTAAATTATTTCCATAAAACATGTTAGACTCATAAAACCTCTTAAGACCTAAATTCCTTTCTACTCAAAAATCTTAAACCATCTATTTTGTGTGTAGAGGTTGTTCAACTAAAGGAATAAATGTTAAACTAAAAAAAACCCCAAACAAACAGTATGGCCTTGACTATGGTGTTAGAGGGACAGCAGTGATCACACATCAGCTGCTGGAAGGAACTGGATTCTTGTTTCAGGCCACTATCAGAAAAGCTTAGTTTACTGTAAGGATCAGAAGATCTGATCCTGATTACAGAATCTTGGGTTGTGTCTCCCAGCTCATCCTTCCAAATATCACAGAAGAACTGTTAAGATTCCACCTGGGAAAATACTAGGAGTTTATGGAAGAGCAAGAAGGTAGAGGATTATTGATTTAAATAAAAACAGGATTGAATGAGTTCTAGAAAGCAGAGTTCTCAAACTCATGGACAACAGTCTGCAGAAAAAGACAACTTCAAAATACCAACTACAAGCAATATGCAGAGAAGTAAGAATGAGAGGGGCTTCCTCAGGAAAGAAGACAGCTGGTCCACAGCAGAAGAATCTTAAACCAGCCCTTCTGAGTACATGGGGGGTTGCTCTGTGAATCCCCCTTCAGGATCCACGAGGAAGACAAGAAAGAACAAACAGAAGACTCCTGGAAATATAGACGGTGGCAGTAACAGTGAAGCCCCTCAGCCATCTTGGAAGAAAAGGGCTCAGGCAGACCCCGTTGTTGAAATCGAGGAGCTATTTAAGAATAGAAAGAAAATTAAAGATGAAGATTCCTGAAGAATTAAACCATGACTTCTTGAGGACTGGGACTTAGTTACCAGGCAGAAGCAGCTATTTGCACTCCCTGCTAAGAAAAATGTAGATGCCATTCTGGAAGAGTATGCAAATTGCAAGAAGTAGCAAGGAAATGTCGATAATAAGGAATTTGCAGTGAATGAAGTCGTGGCAGAAAGAAATGAATACTTCAACATGATGTTGGGCACTCAGCTGCTCTACAAATTTGAGAGGCTTCAGTATGCCCCAATCCTCAAAGTGCCACCGATGTCCCAGGATTATGGAGCACCACACTTACTGAGATTATTCGTAAGAATCAGAGCAATATTGGTGTATATGCCCCTTGATAAGAACAGCCTTACATAATTGTTGGGCTATTTGCATGATTTCCTAAAATATCTGGCAAAGAATGCTGTCACTGTTTAGTGACAGTGATTACAAAGTGGCTGCATCTGAGAACTACTGACCACTCACTGTTATATCTGGTATTTGTAAACACTATTTTTTCTTAGTCTTTTTCTTCTATAATTGATGTTCTTTAAAATTGTTAATGCATAACAGGCCTTATGCCTCTGTTTGTTTTCTCTTTTGTTTTATTTATTTTTATTAAATATATTTTATGGATTTCAGAGAGGAAGGGAGAGGGAGACAGAAATATCAATGATGAGAGAGAATCATTGATTGGCTGCCTCTTGCACCCCCACACTGGGTATTGAGCCCGCAACCCAGGCATGTGCCCTGACTGGAATCAAACTGTGACCTCTTAGCTCACAGGTCGATGCTCAACCACTGAGCCACACCGAGTGGGCTGTTTTCTGTTTTCTTTTAAACAGAAAATAAGAATGCAAACTCCTTTTCTCATTTCAAAGTTACTACCAGTGTATGCAGTAATTAGATAAAAAAGAAACATTCAGTAGAACATTTTCTTGCCTAGTTGACAACATTAGTTGAATGCTGGTGGTTTTATCCCTTTGATATTACACAGTTTTATAATTATATGTTAACTAGAGGCCCAGTGTACGAAATTCATGCATGGGGGGTGTCCCTCAGCCCAGCATGCACCCTCTCCAATCTGGGACCCCTCAAGGGATGTCCGACTGCCCGTTTAGGCCTGATCCCAGGCAGTCGGATATCCCTCTCACAATCTGGGACTGCTGGCTCCCAAATGCTCACTTGCCTGCCTGCCCGATTGCCTCTAACTGCTTCTGCCTGCCAGCCTGATCACCCCCTAACCATTCCACTGCCAACCTGATTGACGCCTAACTGCCCTCCCCTGCCAGCCTGGTCCCCCCCATCTGCCCCCCCTGCAGTTCTGGGTCCCCCCCAGCTGTCCTCTCCTGCAGGCCTGGGTCCCCCCCCCCCCACAGCCCCCCCCTGTTTTTTTCTCCCCTGCCGGCCATCTTGTGGTGGCCATCTTGTGTCCACATGGGGGAGGCCATCTTTGACCACATGGGGGCGGCTATCTTGTGTGTTGGAGTGATGGTCAATTTGCATATTACCTCTTTATTATATAGGATGCCACATGACAAAATGCCCTGATCCCTAATGCCCAAGGTTCAATTTAATGTATATACCCCAAAACCCATGCATTTGTGGTCTTTCTTATGGTGCTTGAAGTAAAACAGTCCATCCTCTGAAAGTCTATCTATGTTGTTCTTTAGGCATTCTATCTTTTCTCAAATTGTTGAAGGATGCTGGTTTGTTTCATCGTTTTTGTATTTGAGTTCAATGTATGTCCTAACCTGATAGTGATGGGGAATATAAGACATTTTTGGGGGGCAAGCAATCTGAATCTGTGCCAGTAACCTAATGTACATTCTTGATAGCCTATAATTAAGTCACTGCCCCTTTCTTAACAATCTGGTCTAGCAATACCTATTTACCTAAATACTCCCATTTTACAGAGGCCATATATGAATCATCATACACAACCCCCGGAGTGGGTTATCAGCGTTGGTGCCAGGCCAGGCCTTTGGGTGTGGTCTCACATCCCCCATCCGGGCTTTTTGCAAAGCCCACGAATGGTTCGGAAGCCTGATCCATATTTGAGGGACAAAGAAACCAAAGGGTGTAAAGGAAAAGCTTCCTCCATATTCACTCACTCAGGGATTTGGAGAACTGACCCCCTGAATCACTGTACTAGTACATTTGAAACATCTGAAAATAAATGGGTTTATCCTAGATCTCTGAGTACTCCCTGTGTATTTTTCGGCCTCCTGGTAAATTCTGTAACAACAGAGGCAATGTATTATTGTGTAGCCAGGGTTTTCTGGAGAAGTTGAATTTTAAGAATTGTATTTCAGATCTTATATAAAATTTGTTTCTAAATAAAAAAATAAAAAAACACAGTATGGTATTAGCAGAAAAACAGACACAGACCAATGGAACAGAATTGAAAGACCAGAAATAAAGCCACAAATGTATGACAATTTTCAGAGGGAAGGTGGGGGATGGGGCGGGAAGAGATTAACCAAAGAACTTATATGCATAACCCATGGACACAGACAACAGTGCAGTGAAGGCCTGGGAGGCGTTAGGAGTGGGGAGGAGATGGTCAATGGGGGAAAATTGGGGATATTTATAATACTTTCAACAATAAATATTTTAAAAAACAAAACAACAACAATAAAGAGAAATGGTTCCATGATATCAAGCTTTGTCAAATGGTGTACAGAAGGACCAAAGACCTCCTTATTTTTGTTTTTGGAATGGTAGAGATAATGAGTTTAGTTTAAGATATGTTCTCTTAGGTCCTTGTAGGGTATGTAAGTAGAGATATGCTACAAAACTAGTTTGTATATATAAATCTGGAGCTTATGAAAGATGTCCTCACCTACATGTTCATAGTTCTATAGTAGAATCTGAATTTTACCTGTGGTTTAAAAGAACAATTAATTTGACGATGGTCCATATTCATGTTAAGCCTTTATCTAGTGCAAAGTTGTACCAGACTTCCTTACCCCATACCTGGGACAAACAAAGCAAGGAAAATTACCTTTGCCATTCCAACTGAACTGGCATTCAATTCTGAGATGCCTTGGTTGGTCTTGTCTCCACGTTCCCATATACCAAAGTCCTGCCATAAAAAAACCAACATAACATTAGCAAGTCATCACTACTAAATACTCACTAGATCAGTGATGGCGAACCTTTTGAGCTCAGCATGTCAGCATTTTGAAAAACCCTAACTTAACTCTGGTGCCATGTCATATATAGAAATTTTTTGTATTTGCAACCACAGTAAAACAAAGACTTATATTTTTATATTTATTTTATATATTTAAATGCCATTTAACAAAGAAAAATCAACCAAAAAAATGAGTTCGCGTGTCACCTCTGATACGCGTGTCATAGGTTCGCCATCACTGCACTAGATGCACAACCCTTGAATAAAAGGCATGCATAGTAGCTAATTTGACATATTTATGTGTACCCACAATGCTTATTAAGGATATCCAATGAGGTGGGTTGCCCCATAGGTATTTTCCCAGTAACTTTAAATTTTTGTGGGGCTTCCAAGAAGTTGGCGGACTCCTGAACAGTTGATTAGTACTAAGAACTACAGTTCAGTTCATCTGGAGAGGTATTTCTCAAAATTTTCCATCAAAGCAGATACCCAAGGGGTCTACGAAATGGAGCCTAAACCACACCCTGGTACTTTATTTTAAATATCCATTCTAATTTTACTCTATATTGGCATTGAAAATGTACTATGCACTAACCTACGCACTTTACACTATTATCTTCCTTAATCATTACGTTTTATAGATGACAAAACTGAGCTGCAAAGAGAGGTTAAGTGACTCACCCAATGACATACAGCTAATAAGTGACAGAGCTAGGATTACAGTTCAAGTACTCTCACTCCGAAGCCTACATTCTTAACCATTACTCTATATGGCCCCTTGATAATATAAAGATAACAGTTAAAATTAATTTTAACAAACTTTATTTTGAAATAACTTTAGACTTCCAGAGAAGTTACAAAAATAGTACAGTGAGTTCCCATATACCTTTACCTCAGCTTTCCTTAATGTTAACACCTGACATAACCATAGTACAACTGTCAAAACTAAGAAATTAATGTCAGAACACTAGTTTACTTCTTCACTGCACCCTAAATTGAGGATTCCCATTGCTGTTAAATTGGTTCCAAGATCATCAGCTGACAGCATTCATTAGTGTGAGTCCTGCCAGCAACAATTATTAGTGGTGTTTCTTTTTTTTTTTTTTAAATATATTTTATTGATTTTTTACAGAGAGGAAGGGAGAGAGATAGAGAGTTAGAAACATCGATGAGAGAGAAACATCGATCAGCTGCCTCCTGCACACTCCCTACTGGGGATGTGCCCGCAACCCAGGTACATGCCCTTGACCGGAATCGCACCTGGGACCTTTCAGTCCGCAAGCCGACGCTCTATCCACTGAGCCAAACCGGTTTCGGCTATTAGTGGTGTTTCAATGGTGATTTTCTAGTTCCTTCATTACCTCTGCAATTTGTCACTAAGGAAGAGCTATCATTTCTCCCCCATTTCTATATTCAGTTGTTTATTTATATCAGTAGGAAATTATGGATCTTTAGGTTCTTCTCTAGGTTGTAATAAAATGATATTATTTTGTTGCTCGAATTGTTCCAACTTTGGTCTTAGGGTGTTCTACCAGGTTTGACATGCCCCATTCTTTTTGAACACTTCCTCACTTCTGTCACTACATGATGCTCCAGTCTCATCTTGTATTTTTCATATACCAGCCCAGGAACTGACCATCTCCATACGGAATCCTGTTTTCTTTTACTAGAGAATGATAGTTACAATCCAAGACTTGAACAATGGTGCTCATTGTCACTATAGTGTCATTGCTTCTAGGCCCTCTCACTAAACAGAACTTGAACACACCCATGTGCATACATACATGTACATACAAACACACATACACACAATATACTTTACACACCTGTATTTATTTCCATATGTATCTTAAATTACTTTTCATGTCAGATCTCTGAGTTAAAGCTTCAGGAAGGTAAGCCATATTTATCCCATGACTAGTCTGACCTGCCCCCAAACTCAGCTGTACCCTTGTTTGTGCAGCAAAGATTAGACTCTCAGAAGGCACAAATATTAATTCTACTGCTGCAATCCTTAGCTGTAGTGGAGAGGCCAAAGAACCCTAATTTGTACCCAGGCCTATGATATTGGAAGGCAAAGTAATCAGTTAACAAATAATGTCTGTTTGCATCAAATATTGATAGGGGCAGAAATAGAATGTTGGGGAACCAGCTAGAATTGTAAGAAATATTAATCATGCTCTGTTAAATGTGATTGTTTTGTTCTGATTAAAGAAGGCTGCTGGCAGCTGCACTTGGGTCCTGGGAAGTCACCTGGAAATGCAGCCCATCCTCCCCATTTGGAGCTGCCTATTATCATGGAAAGATTAACAACTTTGCTGCAGAAACCAGAATTGTCAGCCCTTTGAAGACTTCCAGCCCTTGTATATCACTAAGCCCTTTGAAGATCCCCAGCTCTCTGCTTACCTGTTAACTGCCCATTTGGCATACCCTTTGGCTACTTCCCAATGTAATCTTTTGTCCTTTTACCCAATATAAGCAGCTGGCTTATGGTGGGGTGCAGAGCAGATTTTTGTGGATGACCGCTGCTCTCCCCATACTGTTGGCAGTATTGGAATTGTGGATGAAAAGGGCCACATGCTAACCTGACAAGCTCAAGGAAGGCCTGCATGGCAGTCTTGCAAACTCAGAGACCTAAAGTAACCACAAAGGATGGTCTGAAATCAAACTTTAACTAAAAGCAGTTATGGTGGGCAGTTACATCCTAGGCTGGTATCTTCACTGACAAGGTCAACCTTTACCTTAACTGAGCCTATCTGTCTTTTTGCATCTATAATAACATACCCTTGAAATGTCTGGGTAACTTGTAACTTCCCTTTTTCTGAACCCCTTGGGACACAACCTAATGTGCTGGGCACCAGGACACATACCACAAACTCATTCATTATTATCATGTTAATTGTTCCTGCACCCACCTAAGTATGTGTCTATCATTTTACTTTATATCCAATCCCAGGGGCTCCCCCTTTCACACACCCCAACCACTTTGCTTTCTCCTGCCTCTCTAGTCTATCACCAATGGATTTCACGTAACCCACCTATGTCCCTTCCTTTGATTGCAATGTATAAATAAAGATGTAACCTGCCATTCTCCAGAGCATTATCTCAATTCATTGAGGTTCTGCTTCCTGGCATATGTCGACAGTTTGGCTCAAATAAACTCACAAAAATTCTTTATAGGTTTCGATGGTTATTTTTATGTTAACAGAATAAACGCTCATATATGATTCAACCCTGCCTCTGCTTAATTGACTCAAGTAGTAACATGCAGCATGGACCCATTGATTGTCCAGTTATAGCATGTCTATGTTACACTTATCCTTCTGGCAAATATAGAGTGACAGGTTCCAGATTTACCCTCCCACCTAAAACAACTAAAAAACTAAATAATTAAGTTAAAAAATGGATTATCTATGACACATCCATTTTCAACACAGTGAACATCATGTAATGAAGAACAGTGATCCCTGAGAGAAGAGATGTTAAATATTTTATGATTTAATATAAATTTATCTCATATAGTAGTTATAAGAAAAAATAACTATTTTGTACTGTAAATACTGAGTCAATGTCTACAGATACTATTATACACATAGAAATTTTATTTCTAAGTAGCTAACTGGCCCATAATACTCCCTAGCCATCTTGCTCCTGCTTAAGACCATAAGTCATTAAAATAAGGCTACAATTTATCCCCAGACTCCCAAATACATACCATCAGATATTCAGTTTGAAAGAAATGAAAACATAGCATCTTGACTCTCTTGCCTCTGTAACTCCCTTGGGGAGAAGGTAAACAGAAGATGACAGAGCTTAGCAAAGAAAGAAACTGAAGATAATTTCTGCCAGAAGCCTTATAGATTGGTTCACTATGAGATGCAGCTATAAGAGAAAGAATCGGTTGTCCAGAATTTTAAAATCACCATATGTTTAAAATGCATTACCAAATGAGTACTTACTGCAGTTTTATATGCAGCTTCAATGTAAAACACAAGGTTCTGGATGAAATTGACTTCATCTAGGCTGTGGATGATATGAAGTCCTGAGGAAAAAGAGAATAAAGATATAGAGCTGGTCAATGTGATACTGTTATAATTAATGCAGTTATTAGTTAACAGAAAAGGAGCAAAGGAAAGGCCGGATAATATGGACATGCCATTTGTGCCAGGAAGCTATCGCTTAACACTCTCCAGGTCTGCTCCCCACAAATCCTGGGGGAAGGGACTGGACAAAGAAAGAATAGAGGTATCCCCAGTAAAGTCTAAATGATGTAGAGAGGGTGCTTGATTGTCAGTCATACCTGGGAACAGGGCATCGGCCAGAATAGGTGTGTAGGCATGGCCACTGAAAGCAAGGGAAGATTTTATATTTAACCTCCTAAACAAAGGGGTTTCCTCTTGCTCTTTCTCCTGAGAAGGCTAAAAAGGGCCAATTCAAATGTAACCCTGATATTTTGGGGGCTAGCATTTGGAATCCATGCCAGCAAGCTAACCTATAATTAAGTCATTACCTCCTTCCCAGAAACTGGTCTTGCAGAACCTGTTACAGAGGCCATAAAACTGTGAACAGTTCACTGCCCCTGGAGGGAGGGTTATTAAGGCTGGTGCCAGGCCAAATCATCAGATATGGCCTGGAGACCACCAACACTTGGGGGCCTTCTTGCAAGGCCCACAAAAAGGACTGGAAGCATAATCCATATTTGCAGGACAAAAGACCACAGGGAGATATATAAAGAAGCCCCCTGCATGTTTCAGTACTCAGATTTGGAAAGCTATTCCCTGAGTCTGCTGGTGTAATTAAACAGTGTCCTTCCACTTCTTTAAAGCGTCGCTTGGTTTTCTTTGGTCTTCTGCAACATTCCTTGTTAATAGCAACTTGACTCCTGGCTTGTAGGACTCTTAGGCTCTGCACTTGTCCACATGGCCCATAGCCATGTGGTTCCTAGACACAATGGACTAATGAATGGACTTTAACTAGCCTGATATTACACTGGACTCAACTCCACTATGGAACAGAAACTCTGGACACTGGCTTTGCTTTTCGCTCTGCTAGAGCCCCAGATGCACCATTTCAAGGACTGGTTTAAGGGAAATGGTACTTTGGAAATGGAGGGATATAACTCCACGCAAATAAAAATCACTCACTCTCCCATGCAAGTCTTAGAAAATTATTTTTCTCATGATGTTATAAGAACCTGAGCCCTAGCATCTAATGGGGAAAGGGATCCCCTACTTCTACCAGTGGACACCCTACTTCCACCAATAACAAATGATAACTATAAGCTTTACAGGCAGCCATAATGACTAAATGACCCTACTATTCCCAAGTAATCCTACTCTTCTTAGGTACTTTGATTCTAAAAAAATATCACAGATCAGTCATAGGCTAGTCTTCAACTAAGTGAGATACCAGCATATTTTAACATGGAAGAATTTTAACTGTTATTTGTAGGTTTTAATAGGAAGTCTCAGACTCCTGATTCTATAGGTAACTAATTTATAATGTGCTTAAATGCACAAATCTAGGCATCTGGAAAAACATAAATCATAAAAGAATTGGAAAGAACCTAAATACTGAGCAAGAAGTGGATAAACCTTATGATTCTAAGGAAAACTTAAAACTATATTTTTTGGAGTAATAATGAGAATTGATCTAAATGTAAGCTATACAAAGATAGTATATCCTATATAATAAAAGCCTAATATGCAAATTGACTGAACGGCAGAATGACTGCTTGGTGGAGGGCAGGGGCACTGAGCAGGCGATGCCAGGCCAGCCAAGGCAGATGCCAGTGGGCAGAGGGAGGGGATGGCAATCAGGTGGCAGTGACAACAAGGGGCGGTGGAGGGGCGATGGGGGGACAGGGCCAGTTGCCTCCCACAGAGGAAGCCAGACTAAGCCATCAGTTGGACATCCCCCGAGAGCTAACGAACTGTGAGAGGGCACAGGCTGGGCTAAGGGACCCCCCCCCTCGCCGAGTGCATGAATTTTTGTGCACTGGGCCTCTAGTATAAATATAAAATCTTCCCACACTTTCGGTGGCCATGCCTACACACCTATTCTGGCAGATGTCCTGTTCCCAGGTATGACTGATAGACAAGCACCCTCTCTACCCAATGGAGGGTTTTGCATGAATTATCTACTTAATTTTTACAACATACCTAAGAGGTGGGTACTTCTGAGGCTTCAAGATGTTATTTGCGTAGCCCTAACTGGTTTGGCTCAGTGGATGGGGCGTCAGCCTGCGGACTGAAGGGTCCCAGGTTCGATTCTGGTCAAGGGCATGTACCTTGGTTGTGGGCACATCCCCAGTGGGGGGTGTGCAGGAGGCAGCTGATCGATGTTTCTCTCTCATCGATGTTTCTAACTCTCTATCCCTCTTCCTTCCTCTCTGTAAAAAAAATCAATAAAATATATTTTAAAAAATTTTTTTAAAAAGATGTTATTTGCCTAAGGTCATGTAACCAATAAATAGGACTCCATTGATTATCAACTTCTGCATCACTTTAGAGACAAAGATCCTACCAAGATGCCATACTACTTTCCAATATGTACAATACAATCCATTTTTGTTTAAAAAGTAACACTTTTCTCTCTTCCCCATCTCTTATTTTTAATGAGAGAAATACCAACAGGTATACAGTGAAAGTCTTCCACTTGAATCACATCACTTCCACTCTGCCAAATCTCCTCTCTGGAGGAAATAAGTCTAACCAGTTTCCTCTGTATCCTTCAGAGATATACTATGCACATATAAAAATTACACGAAAAATAGAACTAGATTATGCTGCACCTTGCTTTTTTCATATATCACTTGGAGACAGTTTTAAATATATCTGCCTCATTTTTTAATAGCCACACAGCTTTCCACAGAATGATACTCATATAACTAGTTCATTATTGAAAGACATTGAAGTTCTAATCTTTTATCACCACAATCAGTGCTGCGATGTATATCTGTGTATTTATATATCATTGTGCACATGTACCAGTATATCAAGGTAAATTCTTAGAATTAGAATTGCTGAGTCACAGATTTATACATAATTTTTCTAAAATGTTATTATGAAAGTTTTCAACAAACAAAAGAAATTAGAATTTTACAGTGCATAGATGTATACACACGACCTGGACTCAACCATTAACATTTCACTATAGTTTTTCTTTTTTTAAAAAATTGTAGTAAGAGAGAAGAGAAGAAGAGAAAGAGAAGGAGGGATGAAGGGAGGGAGGGAGGGAGGGAGGGAGAACAAAAAGTCAACAAACCCAATGGAAGAAGATATTTGCAAGCGTGCCCCAACTGGGGATCAAACCTGACTTGGGTATGTGCCCTGACTGGGAATCAAACCTGCCACCTTTTGGTGTAGGGGAAGAAGCTCCAATGAACTGAGCCACACTGGACAGGGCTTACTATATTTTCTCAACACATATCTATCCTTCAATCAACCCATCTTATTTTTGATACATTTCAAAGTAAGTTGCAAATATCAGTACACTTCTCCATAAATACTTCACCATATGTGTATTAAATATTGATAATTATCACCAAGTTATTATGTAAAGTTTCAGTTTATATACCAAACAGCACTACCTGCCTGTTCCCTACACCCCATCAACACTTGCTTTAATAATTTTTTAAATCTTTGCCTCTCTAATGGATGAGAAATAGAATCTTTGTGTTTAATTTGAAATTCTTTTATTATGAACTAGAGGCCTGGTGCACAAAAATCTGTGCACTCGGGAGGGTCCCTCAGCCCAGCCTGTGCCACTCTTGCAGTCTGGGATCCCTTGGGGGATAACCACCTGCTGGCTTAGGCCCGCTCCCCGGGGGATTGGGCCTAAGCTGGCAGTCAGACATCCCTCTGGCAGCCTGGGAGCCCTCGTGGGATGTCCACTTGCCAGTGGGGAGCAGGCCTAAGCTGCAGTCGGACATCCTTAGTGCTGGCCAGCCTGGGTGAGGGGCTGATGGCTGTTTGCAGGCTGTCCACAGCCCCTTCAGGGTGGGGGTTCCCGCTGGGGTGCCTTGCCAGCCTGGGTGAGGGGCTGATGGCTGTTTGCAGGCTGTCCACAGCCCCTTCAGGGTGGGGGTTCCCGCTGGGGTGCCTTGCCAGCCTGGGTGAGGGGCTGATGGCTGTTTGCAGGCTGTCCACAGCCCCTTCAGGGTGGGGGTTCCCGCTGGGGTGCCTTGCCAGCCTGGGTGAGGGGCTGATGGCTGTTTGCAGGCTGTCCACAGCCCCTTCAGGGTGGGGGTTCCCGCTGGGGTGCCTTGCCAGCCTGGGTGAGGGGCTGATGGCTGTTTGCAGGCTGTCCACAGCCCCTTCAGGGTGGGGGTTCCCGCTGGGGTGCCTTGCCAGCCTGGGTGAGGGGCTGATGGCTGTTTGCAGGCTGTCCACAGCCCCTTCAGGGTGGGGGTTCCCGCTGGGGTGCCTTGCCAGCCTGGGTGAGGGGCTGATGGCTGTTTGCAGGCTGTCCACAGCCCCTTCAGGGTGGGGGTTCCCGCTGGGGTGCCTTGCCAGCCTGGGTGAGGGGCTGATGGCTGTTTGCTGGTTGGCCATAGCCCCTTCAGGGTTGGGGTCCCCACTGGGGTGCCTGGCCAGCCTGGGTAAGGGGCTGATGGCTCTTTGAAGGCTGGGCAACCCCCCCAGCGGGGACCCTCACCCCATGAGGGTGTGGCCAGCCTGGGTGAGGGGATGATGGCTGTTTGCAGGCTGGCCATGGCCTCCAGCCACCCAAGCTCCCAGTGGAGGCTGGCTGGAAGCAGGTATCTGGGATTTATTTATCTTCTACAATTGAAACTTTGTAGCCTTGAACAGAGGCCACAGCCAGGCAGGGCAGACGGGAAGCTTGGCTTCCTCCATTACTGGGGCAACCAAGCCTCCTGCTTGGTCCAGTTCCGTGGCTGCCGGCTGCCATCTTGGTGGGTTAATTTGCATACAGTCACTCTGATTGGCTGGTGGGCGTGGCTTGGGGCATGGCGGAGGTGCAGTCAATTTGCATGTTTCTCTTTCATTAGATTAGATAAGGTTTGAGTCTTTTTACATG